CAGAAATTAGATTCTTCAACTTGTGAAACGTCTGGAGGTTAAAACCTTTCTGCATGTTATTAGAGATGGGGATTTTTTTTGCAAAGGTTTTAGACGCTTCTTATATCTAAAAGATAATAAGTATATGTTTTAGATATACTAAAATAGTTCTCAGTGAAACATCTTTAGGCTGTTGTAGGGTTTCATAATATCCATCATATAAGGCTTCTTTGTTTGTGTGCTTGTTGATTTATCCGAATAATTTTAGTTAAATATTTTAAGATATCGCAAATAACTTTATTTGGGTTAGTGAATATATCATGTACTATATCATATATATCTTGCATCTAAATCGAACTAAACAGTGGCATGGCATTTAACGTACTTCGAGCTCCGAATTCTCTACGGAACCGCTCGGCATTGCCGAAGTTACGCTAAACACAAATCCAAAATGGTGCACACCATATATATGCATAAAAAATACACTAGCATGAGCAGAACACACCCTGTTCGTGCGAATGGAAACGAGCTGCGTTCTTGATAAAAAAATTCTTAATACATTTTGTAAAAGATAAAAAAAAAACAAGTTACGACTAGTAAACATTGTTTATTTTTGCAAAGATTAAGATGTGATGTCATTATGCTAAAAGATAGTAACATACAATGATAATGATTATTTTGATGATAGTAATTATAATCATATATCAGAAACCATTGAATTATTAAAAGTGTTAGTCTTACTTTTGGATTTTTAAGTTCATATTTAGCCTACAGGAGCTTGGAGACTTCCATCATTTTTCTGAAACTTAACTCACTCATCAAATCATCCCAAAGAATAAAACAAAGCTGATAAGCAGAATTAAGCATAGAGTCTACTAGTGGCCAGTATTCTCGACGAATTTTACGAACAACACGCATGAAGGGAGTCGACATGTTCGGATTCTCTTTCACGTGTGTTACACAATATTGTGTGTTCAGCAAATGTTACTACATTTCAGAGATTCTAATCTTTCTGAGGGTCGCGAGTTCAATCCCATCACCGAACACGCTCGCCTTTTCATCCTTGAGAGCGTTATAAGATGACGTTTAATTCTACTGCTTCGATTAGAGTAGCACAAGAACTGGCAATTGGTGGAGTTGACTAGCTACCTGTATCACTTATAAATTATAATTATATTACCAATATTAAGACTCTTTACTAAGAAATCAACCACACTGGATATAACGGTACATATCTCTTTAACAAAGGATTTCCACTCGCATATACATATCAAGCTGTTTTTATTCTGTAGTAAATGCTTTAACTTTTATACGAATCATAGTATTTATATCATTACGAGCTACATTTACACTCAGTCTATAACATATTCTTGAGCACATATATAATATTATCAAATTTTTGTTTTTTCAATATAAATATTTAGTGACTGAAGAAGTATACTTACAAAGGTGTAACTAAAACAACTAACAAATGGAAATAAAGAGGTTTTTGTTTGTTTGTAGTTAAGCGCAAAGTTACACAATGGACAATCTGTGCTGTGCCTACCACGGGTATCAAAGCCCAGTTTTTAGAGTTATGTTCCTTCAGACTTACCCATGAGCCACTTGGTGCAGGATAGTTGGTTGTTACGCATACAAAGTTTAAAACACAGTATTACTAACTTTTCGTCTTGCTTTACAAATATCGCTTTTCCAATAAATATAACCTATATTTTATATCATCCAGAAAATGAACTTGCTATGCTTACCTACTGGAAGGAGTCACTTGAACCGTACTTGCACGTCTTCTTGAGAAGAAACGATGACTTTATGGCTTCATTGTCTTCAGTTCTTTGTTCTTATTGGTTAAACCACGCCTATGCAAAGTGATACGGAGACGTGACGTCACAGAACTTCGGTAAGTGTGAGGTCACTATTGAAAAAGACATTACAGTTACAAAAGGGATTTCTAATTGATCACTCTGGTGTCAAGACCCATATTCGCTAACATAGTATAGCAATCACAAGTAATTAGTATATCTGGTGTGAAATTACGACGCTGGTGTGAGTTGATACTCTAACCTGACAAATCCATTTATCTGCAATTACCTGGAGCGAGTAGCCGCTGTGAGATCTATTTTATTAGTTGGTTCTGTTTGTAACTGAGTGCTAAAGACTGAATGGGAAACATCATAATCACATAAGACAACAATATATATACAATAAACAATAATACTGAAAATACTTGGTATTATCAACTGTGTTATAGTTTCTTTTATGATAGTTTCTATAAAACGTTAAACAAAGAAACTAAATATTCAACTAATATATATTTATTCGGAACTAGAATTTGCCATATTAGCTAAAAATCTTAAAGTTTGTTCTTAACTTACCCTTAAAACGCCCTTCTTTCTTGATTACGTTTTTACTTTTTTATGAGTAAGGTAAGACCAATCTTTTATACTTTAAATTAATTCAGTTAGCAGATGAATAATTTATTTTATCTACTAGTGTGCAAATAATAACAATAGTTAGCTGATTTGAGACAATAAATAAAATTACGTTGTGAATATAAATATATTAATCCCTTGCTTATCTTTTTCTATGGAGAAGTTTATTGTTGTAAAACCAAGAAATGCACCGAACACACTATTTTTTCCAATGGCACTTTAATTAAGACAATGGGGATTTTGTAAGTAGTATGCTTATTGGCTTTAGAGCACAAATTCTAAGTGATGAAATTCAAATCACGCTCGATGTTGATGTATATTGATGATTTGAATTGTTTTATGATTAATGTTAAGAAAGAACAAATACATTTTATGAACATCTATAATCTCCAGCATGGCACTGTGTAAAAGTTTAAACAAATGCAAGTAAAGTCCAGTAAAGTAAAGTAAATAATGGCTGGAGACGGCTTAAACGGTCTCAAAGTGGGTTCCTCGTCATCGAAAAGTAAAGTAAACAGAAACCTACACAATGGGCTACCTGCGTTTTTTTAACCGCGAGTAATCGAACCCAGGATTTTAGCTTTGTAAGTCCATAAACTTAACGCTGACTCATTGGGGACTTATATAGTCACAGAAACTATTTCTGTGAAAACGATAATAAAAGATCGGACAGAGTTCTGCTGTACAATATTGCAAGTCCAGATGGACCTAGCAAGATTAAGAATACTTGATTAAAATTACGATTAGAAAACATATTTAAAGATACTAATATTTTGTCTCTTTCAAGAAATCCAAAACATGTTAATTATGAATAAGTCTACCCTACTTTAAGATGCTACTCTGATGGCTTCACACAGATTTTTTAGGAGTTTCTGCGCTGATGTAGCAATTCTATTTTGATAAGTTTATTGGAACTTACCATACATCTCTATTACAAATATATATATATTGCTAAGAACTTATTAGATACACGTAAATTATTTTCACATATTGTATAGAAGGAATAAACTTGTAAAATAAGGTTGGAAGAACGCAATGTTTATTTAATATTTTTTAAGACTAAATTGCTTCGTGAACTTTGTCTTTTCTCGCGTATAGCAAACTCACCGCTGAGAGGCAAGAGAGAGGACTCCGTACGCTTGGGATATAGTGTTGTGAAATGAAAACCTTGTAAGGTTGTTCCAATGATGGCGTGCTGGTATTTTGGGAATATTAGGTAACCGTTACTCTGACTAGATACCTAAAGTATTTAAGAGATTAGCAGTATGCAATCAATAAATAACAGATCTAGGCTTAGTCCTGTTATTTCATTATATCAAACTATATATAATTCAAGCCAAGTGACTTTAAAGGAGAGATTAAAATCAACTTAATAATTTATCAAATATGAGATGTATTACAGTAATTACTGTTTGAATTAAGGCATATTACCACTATATCATTAAGCTAGAGGATCTGGTTCGTTATGTTCTTGCAATCTTTGTATGATGTACAACACAATAGTTCCTAATTATAATCTTTTGAAAAACAAATTAGAAAGATTTGGAAAATAATACTATTTGGAGAACGTTAATCATACTAGGAAGGTGTAAGTTAAAAAGATAATTTCAAACTGAGATCTTTATGCTAGAAATGAAAATGCTTATTTCATTCATTTTCAATTTTTATCTGTTTCACATACGACTTTACTGAAATTAGTTTTTCGAAGTTACGAAGTAAGAAGTTTATCTAGTGACAGAAAATCATAGAGTAATGAAACTGTTTATAAACTAATAGTTTAATCTCAGCAACAAGTAATTTCTATTGAACTGAACATGAATCAAACTACTTCATTAGTTTGGGAGGGCGGAAATACTGGGTCGACTTCTACGGTCGAAAAGCTAGCTCAAAGTTTCACATCCTGCAAGGTTTCAGTTTATACTTGTTCAGTAGAATCTATAAATATCCTAGGTGAGTGTGCAATCGTTAACGTTAAGCATGAAAACATCGTTCAAAGCGCAACTACACATCTGATGACCCAATGAACTCTAATCATTATAGGTTTTAGTTTTCTTATGTATTGACTTATGGCATTAAATATTTAACTTGCAGTAATTTTGTTATATAATATTAGTATATAATAGATTTGTGCGTTATGTTACTCTTTAGTTCTGATCTATATAATTAGCTCACTTCTGACCAGAAGCTTTTGTATAACTTTCTGGAGTTCCGAGACAGTTTATCATAAGTATTATATGGAAAGACGTTCCAAAATTCAGGAAATAATTGTGTTTTTTTTCATTCTAAAAGCTTAAACTGTTCGTTTATATCTACAAGTTATTAATACCCACTCCTAAAAACTGTTCGTTTATATCTACAAATAGTAGCTTATTGTCATCACTCCTTAAAACATTGTTCGTTTATATCCATAAATAATAGTTTATTGTTACCCCCTCCTAAAAATATGCGTTTATATCCATAAATAATAGTTTATTGTTACCCACACCTAAAAATATGCGTTTATGTCCACAAATAATAGTTTATTGTTACCCACTCCTAAAAAAAAGCGTATTTTAATTGCTGGAAACTCGAATTTGTTGTGCCTCTGAATCAGTTTATTTAGTATGGCGGCTCTGATAATGTAAATACGTTTTGTCTGTTTTTATAAAATAATAACCAAATTAATATAATACGTACATTGTTGAGGCAGTGCCTACAAATTAAGATACATTAGGATATTTCTTTTGTTTAAAATTGCATTACATTGCGAGTATTTTCTTCCACAATGAAACAATTGACATTCACACAACTCACTGCTTTATCGTAATCAATCACAATATTCCGAGATGTTGTAAAATTTTTAATCATAATATAGATGTACAGAGTGTTCACACATGCTGCATTTAGTCCATATATCAACTTATGAAGAAAAAAAGAGCATGAATATTTAGTAACTCATTTTGAAACAGTAAAAATTAAGATATATTTATTTCACGTTGCATAGATTAGTAAGATGTAGTTGAAGTGTTGACTGACAATGTAGTAACTTCAGCAGGGGGAAAGATATTTTGTAAGATAGAAATATATGCATTAATACGTACTGTTCCTATTTTTGGTTTACATAAGTCATTTAAATAAGTAACTAAAAATTAAAGAGCAACATTTTTATGTAATTTATTTCAATCTTTATTTCTAAATGTAGTCACAATGTTTTAAATATGTTTATTCAGCTGATCTTTCAAGAAACTGTTTCATTGAAAACGATGTTATCAGATGGTTTTTAATCAAAAGCTGTCATATTGCATACACGCTTATCATGCTATATAATTATTGAGAGTATGACTAGAGCAAGGCTAACAATACATCATTTTCTTTTTAATTTTGTACTTGTTAGATTTATTACTAAATCAAACGTTTTCCTGTAAAAATTACAGATTAAGTTTTGACTTCATGATATTTACATTAATACTCAGAAACCAGATATTATTCACATGTTGTGAACCACAATTAAGAAGAATAGTTTTGGAAATTTCAAAATAATGGTTTTGACACTGAGATATTAAGTACTTTATGCTTGTTGAGAGAGAATTTTTCCACTTATTTTGCAGGCTGTCTCCAACATTGAGAGTTTTAAGAATTTCAGACTTTTAAATGTGAGCTGAAATAGTTATTCGACATAACAGTAACTTCACATATTTATAGTTTATGGAGGTATACATTAGGGTGGTCTTTATTTGTAGATACAATATCAGGTTAAAAATTATAAAATTCTCACTCTAATTCTGTTATAATTCTCCCCCCCCCCAAAAAAAAACTTCATCCATTTTGGACCATATTTAGAAGTTGTTCAATGAGGTTAAATTTCTAAACTGGAGTGGCCTGGTGCTGTACTTACTATGTGATATAAAAACATATTTGTTATATATTATGAACGATTTATTTAAGGTGTGTTATTATTTTATTACATAGACAATAGTATAGCTACCTAAATATATGATTTTGGTGAACTTAGTCACTTTTACATTGATATTGTTTCCTTTTTGCTGTTAGAAAAGCGTTTTGTATGATCCTGCACAACTTGAGGAAGGAATTGTTTTTGTTCTTCTTTCTTGAGGGCATATAATGCCTTAGCCATTCATTGTGCATGATAAACAGCACTCCACGAGAAAGGACACCACCAAAAAAAAAAGCTATGACCATTTCAAGAAGCTTTCGATAATCTTCTCGATTGGCTGGCCTGAAGTTGTCTTGTAGCAAACTCAATGACACTGTTCTTTACCTTTTCTTTGTCTTCTGCTATTTAACTATGGCCAGTTGCAGGTTCATAGCTGGACTGGTCCATGTATTCTATAAATTGCTGGAATCAATTGAAAATAGCAATATC